CTCTCTCTCTCTCTCTCTCTCTCTCTCTCAACTGCAGACAATGAACAGCCCCATCTCTAATTGCCCTCGAGTCAAGTTTCATTGAATTCCATGTACTGTACTTCTTCCAACTTCACAAAAGGAGGGTAGACTGCAATCAGTTAGACAGAAGGAACTCTCCTCTCTCTCTCTCTCTCTCTCTCTCTCTCTCTCTCTCTCTCTCTCTCTCTCTCTCTCTCTCTCTCTCTCTCTCTCACCTTTGCACCATAGTGATCTAGCGCTGTACTTTGACCGAGAATGCTGGATATGACGCGGATGTTATTGACATCGAGGTGCTTGAGCATTATATGGTCTTGGCCTCCCTCGCTCCATCCGGCCAGCCCTGGCCTCACGACTACACCATAATCTGCAATCCACAAAAGTTTATAAACATAATCGTTCACAGAGGACGCAGAAACCGACATAATTTTCTCGTTTTGTAAAAGCGTTGAAAAAAAAAAACATACTGGAGAAAAAACGTTCAAAAAAAGGAAACTTATCTTACTGTCAGTGAAATGGCACAGGAGTTTGTTTCTTTTTTAAAAAGGGCGACGGCCTTGAGATATCATCATCGAACTGACCGCCCCCTAGGTCATTCGGAATCATACTATTATTTCACTCATTTGCTTCCACTGGAGTTCATACCAGGGTCTGTATTTCAACAGTTCAGGGGTTGTACCAACTGAGTTAGTCCAGTTGCCACAGGAGTTCGTGTTTCGAGACATCCATCAACAATAGTTTGCTACAGAGAAGAAGTGGATGACCCCAGCGAGACGAGAGGGGGGAGGGTGAAGGCATCGCGCAGAGGAGGTGGTTTAGCAGTGTTTCAGACATACTTGCACACAACATTTTGCACATGCTTACGATCTTGCCAGACATCTATGCGATTATGCCGAACCTCTGTGCGATACTGTGAAACCTCTGTGTGAAGTTGGGCAGAAGCACACACACCGAAGTTCACACCGAGGCTCACACAGAGGTTCACACAGAGTTTCAGCAACAATCTTTCTCAAAGTTTTTTTCTTTTCAACATTCAAGTTGATGTTCGAAAACACATCGGGTGGTACGCAAGAACAATATGGTAAAAAAAAGGACGAAAGTTTTGTCCAAAATTTAAAAAAAACGACGGGTGTACCTCTTGGATGTTGGTGGGGGAGATGGGGAAGGTTAGCATGGCCCCTGTGCAAGGAAGACACGCATAAATCATTTAAGATTAAAAAAAAAAAAAAAAAAAAAAAAAAAACGACTTATTGCCAG